GTAATTAAATAATATTGCCAATTAAAAAAAAAAAACACGAAAAAGATCCAAGTCTAACCTTACAAGGGGTTATTTCGTGAAGATGGAAAAAAACCTATCGTCGACACGAGCGAAGAGAATCTGAGCTATTCGAGGGGAAAAAAACAACACACGTGTACAAATCCCTTGGTTATCTACAAAATTGACCGGGTACCCCATTAAAATCACGATGCTCGTAAACTTTCTCTCTCCGACACCACGTGCGCGTCATCTGCCTTGCCAGACGAACGAACACGAGTAGAACGCGTGTGTGTGTGTGACATCTTGGGGTAACAATTCTGAAAAAAAAATTTTATCGGATAATCCACACGGATCGACAGACTGTTACAGTGACAATTACACGCGAACCGTAACAGTTCTCAGAGACCGGTATTTTTCAGCGATCGAAGGCGCCACTGAGGTCGAATCCTCCGACTGTTATCGCATCGCGTTTCTGGTTCGAAGCAGCCCGATAACCGACATATCCTTGCCGACAGTACACCCTCCAGCCGCGGAATCTTACCGGACAAAGTTTAATCGCCGAAACCATGAAGAAGACGCAACACGTCGCGTAGATCGCGCGAGATGCTTTTGTGTTGCCCCGATAAAAGGGAAAACCGTCGATGCGATAAAAACTATTCTGACGCCAACGACGGTGCTCTTGACACGTCTCTAATAATCATTGAAACGTGCGCGGGCGTCAGTGACGCGTTTAGGGATATTGAATTTTCAGGCCAACTAGGACCGCCTTAACCTTTTGCTGGATACTAGCCCATATGTATATGTTTAGTTTTTCTTTCATTCGATCATGATTCCAACGATACAATGAATATTATTGTGAATAAACACTTACTCGGAAATTCCGTAAGAAAAAAAAAAGGATAACCTACAAATTGATTGTTGTTGATATTCTTAAATGTATTTTAAACAGATGCAGCTGAAAAAGAGTGTTAATAATTGTAATTAAGTTAATTTTCGAACAAACAGAAATTTCCATAAGGCACTCGAACCATGTATAACCTATGAGTAGTTGATGTAATGGTGATTACCATCGTTATTTCTCGGAAATTGTTTCGATCCGTGTTCCTAATGATATCGATCGAGATAAGAAAGAAATATTCGACTGCGTAGATAAATTTTGCGTGGTTTTCTAGAATGCATGGAAACGTATCCGTGTCCGTCTTGATCGATAACGGCGAAAACACGGTGTGTTTCGCAGATCTTCACGGTCGATCGGTAACGCGCGCGAGACTCCGGTGATATTATGTTTGTGTACGTTCTGATAAGAAGATTGCGCGTTTAGAATATAATTATTTCGAGATATACTGGAATCTTTGCACGGTTACAGATAGCCTCTTGACTTTCGTTGATTTGTATGTGGAACAATAAGCTATGAGACGGCTGATACACATAGGATATCCAATGTTAGATAAATCCGCGGAACCGTGACGCGTGGAACGTAAATACGAACCCGTCGCAAATAATTCGATGTTTGTTGCGTTTCGGTAAACAATTTCGCGACAATCAAGATGAATTTCCCGTTCGAATATGGTGTCACATTGTTTTAATTCTACTTTATTTGAATTTATTGCCATTAACGGGAAGACCCATTTTATACAAAAGTTTAACAAGAAGAAAGCATCGTATGACACTATTTGTAGTAGTTTAATCATACAATGTTACTCTCGCAATATCCGGTAGATGGAAGTTTTGACTTTATCTATTGTTTCTGAGAAAAATTCAATTTGGTTATTAAATTTGTTGGCTATATTGCATATTCTGGCTATTGTATCTGTGTGGTTGTACCTGGATGTGTAACAACTAGGGTAGAACAAATTGGAATGTCTGGCTGCATGAGTGGGTACGTGAACATTTATTTGATTTAGGAGAACAGAACAATCTAATAAGCTGTTAATAATTTTATATAAAAATGTAATGTCAGCAGCAATATGTCTATCTTCAAGGGTTTTTATTGTACAACGAAAAAAGAGTAAATTAGATACGTTTCAGTGAGAGCGTTTAACGTTACAATGGAATCTCCGAAGGGCGACACTGATCTATCTCATTCGGAACAACGTTGGGACGAGGCGACAGGCGATGGCACTCGTATTACGTAATTTCCAGGCAAAAGGGACCGCCTAGTGTTCCCCAAAAGCCCATGACGTAACATCATCCGTTAGTCACGTGTTCACATGGCTCCCGAAACTAATAGTCCCACGCACTTTTAAACCGCGTGTGTTATGTAAGACCCTGAAGGGGCGACAAAACTGTACCCGTAAATACATTCACGGGGACAAGCTACTCCCTCGCTCGTACTTATCTACGATGACATTTCGAGATATCTTACATAAAAATTCCATCATTACCACTAGACCGGGATATGGTAAATTCGATCAAATGCAGATCATTACATGAACATTAAACAAAGATTTTTATGTCTTACCGTTATATAGCTCTAACTGTACAACGACTGTTTTGTTTCAGTTTCTGGTAATTGGGTCTACCCAGCGGCGGATCAAGGGCAAATCTAAGCTTCCCATTTACGTAAAAAAATAACTGAATGCCATTGTATTTACTGTTTTCCTTCTGAAATTATTAAAAATCCCACTAAATGTAGAAATAAATCGGAGAATAGTTATTAAAATATAACGAAACATGGTTCGTTATGATTAAATGTTATTTAGTTTTATTTAAAATAAATTTCAATTTTTGGAGTTTTATTACAAAAATTGTTTGGCCTCTTATTTTCAACCAAGGGGGCCCTTGGTATAATAGCCCCTGACATCAAAAATTTTAAGTTGGGTCTGGGTCTACTCATTGTTTAATTAGGGGGAGTTCTTTTAACAGTGCTTCTCCAAGGAAATCCATGGCAACGTGTCCTTAAGGCGGAACAAGTCGCAACGGTATCCTTCGCGCGCTTTCTCCGGAAATGCATATATTGTGGAACTCGCGTGGGAATCGTATGTATGCGCAAACAATTCATTCAGCGTCGCCCGGTCGCAAGTAGGCGTCTGCAAAAGACGAGTGACCGGAAAACGCGTGCTTGCGCGGAGGCACGCGCGCGCGCGCGCGCTCGCTCTTAAAAACGAGCAAAATACATTTTAAGAGAGCAGTCAAGCCGGTTACCAGAAGAAATCTGCAGCCAACACAGGCCTCGAACACGATTCATTGGAGGCACTGCCAGCATTGCTTTACATGTATGGTCTTGTTCGACTATTTCCATAGTAAAAATTTACAAAAAAAAAAAAATTAAATCTACGACTAAGGCATTGCCCAACATTGCTTTACATATATGGGTTTGTTCGATTGTTTCCATAGTAAAAATTACAAAAAAAAAATCAAATCTACGACTAGCGAATAAGTATGATTATCATAAATATCACAGCAGAGGCTTTGAGTATAACGATTGGATTTTTGAAGTCACAATAAACTATACTTTCATAAACTTTTTTTGCGTTTCTTTTTCTACTATTGTACATGTAAATAGTTTTGCATAGACTATTCTGAGTGATATACGTACCCGGTTGTACTCTGAAGCCACGTATTTCTTTCTCAAAAATGGCGGACGCCGCTGAAGGACGGAGGGCAAATATCATCGAAGCGTCACTTGGTTTTCGATATTACAAGAGACGCTAAACTTATTGGTGCATCTAAGAATACCGAAGGCCACGGATAATTCGACGCTTCAACGTTATAAAATTAAAGCTCGTCGGGACGGTAAAATTTCGGCTGGTAATATATTCAGTTCATAAATACGTTACTACGTTAATCAAGCACCGAATCATGTATTAGAGGACAGAACACGTTTGACGGAATATCTCTTTATTACGGTCTGTCGTTAAAAATAACCAGCGTGCGGGGGGAGGCAATCGTTAAAAGCCCGCAGCCGACACAACCGGCTAGTAATATTTATTTATTGTTTCTGTTGTGTCATGAGGTCAGGAGCCCGCTAATCGGCCCCTCGCCGCGTCCCTGTCATTCAAAACGTTCGAAGATTAAATAATAACTGTACTAACAACTCTTCCCGCTCATAAAGCTAGTCTAATCGAGGCGAGTCGATATTCTTTCTTTATTCGACGATAAAGCCGTTTCCCTGAAATGCAGTGTACATCCGTGCTTCGTGCCTTTCTATATGTAGCGTTTGCATTCCATTTGTACACGATCCCTTAACACTTTCTTTTTCTATTATCAACAATTATTTCGTATACACGTCTGTGTACAGCGGGCGGCCTGTTCAGGCGCACGTAATTTCAGACGTATCTAACCTATCGCCTATCTCTGTCGATTATAACTGGTTATAATTTCGATCGACAATTGCGATACATTGTACGAGATAGTATTCTATGATAAACAGCCACGGTACTTTTCTATACACCGACACTTATATGACATTCCTTGCGAACGTTATCACACAGTTTGTTTGTAAACAAAGGGGTCTGCTTCCACCCGGACGATAATACACGCAGAGGCATCGGGACTATAAATGAACTTTATCTCGAGTTATAGCTGCATAGTGCTGCAACTAATTGTGTAACGGGTTGCAGTTACATAAGAAATTGTTGCGGATGCGCGACGCGACGAGATGCCTTCCTGGTCGCGTGCACGGATTCCGATGCAGATCGATCGTGAATGTCACCGCAGACAAGATTAGCTAATTTTTGAAAGTAGCGCGAAATATTTTTCTATCGTAATATATGGGTGGATATGTAAACCGTGGATCTTAATGCTAATACAGGCTTTTCTGGTACTTCAACGGGCCATAAATAAGAATCTCGTGAAGGTTTATTAACCTTTACTACTAGGCAAAGCTACGCACAATAGTACATGCTATAAATGCACAAACTCCACAGTATAATGACGAGTGATTCTCGTAGTAATAGTGAAACTACTTAAATGTAACAATCGTTCGATGTAACGAGGTTTACAAAATGGAAGACAGAAGCTAATGAGATTAAACTGACAATGAAATTATAGTTACTTACGTCTTTATTTGATCAGGCAAAGGTTTGAGAACTGGGTCGAAGGACCAGGGATGGCCTGTTGTAGTCCCAGGCTTTTCTTAACTCTGTCTCCACCGGGCACAAACCTCGAATGACAACGTTCGTTTCAAAGTTTTCTCTCGTTAAGTTCACCAGTGATCAGAATCTTCTTAATGTAGCATAGGCGTAGATTCCCAAACAATCTTCATGAAATATCGTTGAACACATCGATATACGCTGGTACCGTTTTCTTGTTACTTATTCAACGACGATTCTTTCTCGTTAAGTATTCCATAAAAAAACCGAACGCGGCCAAAAAAGAACCGTATCGAAGTACATGTACCGGCGTGCGTACTACGAAACGGATGGAACGGTCCTCACGTGGCGAAAAACGGAGTTGCGAACGCCGGGTTAGGTCGATTATCTCGTACAGTCACGAATTTCGGCTCATTCTCTGTATTCTTCTTGTTACGACACACGGGACGATTGTTTTCCGTTAGATGCTTTTTTTTGTTTTGTTGGACGTTAAGAGGTTCACGAGATACCTCCGTCACTAGTCGCCGGCGCGAATCGCGCGATCTGACCTCCTCCTCAGCCCGACTGCGTCTGAAAGGACCGGCGTAAAGTGTCATCCGACCATACGTCCGCAGAGTAGCCGGCACCTCGTGGCGCGCATGCGCCGCCTCAACCTCGTGCGTTTCACGTGATTCCACGAGTTCGACGAATCAGAGGAGCTCCGTATCCACGTGCTCGCATTCTTACACGACTGTTCGCGGCGACAAACTTGATTCGTAGGCCAGAAGTTAATAGGAACCAAGAAAAAGAGCACGACCGTCGATCAACGATCGATCCACCGGTTTTTACCTTAATTTTTATCACAGAATCCTGTCTAGACATCACCCTAAACAGAGAATTCCGAAAGCCAGTACAACGGCGTGCGTGTCTCTCTCTCGGTACAAATCGCGCGTGAGCGTGCGCGCAGTTACTATCTGACAGTAAACTGTTTAGAAACGGTCTAAAATGTAGATGCATATTAATGAGCAACGAGGCGTTATCATTTTTACCGAAAAATCTATCGTGTCCTCCTTTGTTCCTAATAAAGAGGATATTGTTTGTAAACTGAAATAATATTTCGTCATAAATAAGTAATTACTAATTCAAATATACTGTCTAAGCAGATAAACTGTACAAAAACGGATGAATCACAGAACGAAACGGAGGGTTTAAATACTTAAGGGGGAGTTGTTTGGAATCATTTGTCACGGGGAATGAAACAAATTCGCGTTATTTCTTCGTCACCTAGGCGAGTCATCAGGGGTAAACGCAGGTATAAAACGAGTCCTCGAGTAACACGAGACGCTGCCATATTACTTCAACGCGAAGATTTCTATTATATTCCAGCGTGCTCCGTTAAGTCCATTGTCACGGTAGGAAAGATTACAAACACCTAAAACCTGATACACCTTGGTCAGGAAACGAAAAACGGAAAGATTATTCGTGGCACGAAGGACAGAGCGGCGGACTTGATGATTTTTGTACCATATAAAATAAACACATGTATTGAGTAACTGTGTTTTTTTCAACCGTATCTCATTATCGTTCGATTTATAGAAACACTGATTTCTTTTTCGAGAAATCAATCGCGAGGCGAGAGGAGACGACCAAATAAAGCGTAAGATCGGACGTAACGATAAAAAGAATTTTTTTTTCTTTGAATCAGTCCATTTTTCTTACAATTAAAGCATAATAATCGAACGCACTCGATTTTACCCGCCCGGCCTCAAATGCAACTAAGGCAAGGACAGATTTGTTTGTTTTTTGTTTCGTTTGTTTTACAATACTTGGTTCGTTTCTATCCTTCTTGTAAGAACGCAAAAAATTAACAAATTCTAAATTTGTAGCATTTATCCTTGAGCACTCGCTTAACAAACGCATACTTGTTATATACACCCATAAATAAAACCGTCACCTAAATAATTATTTGGAGTGTATCGAGATAATATTGAAAACATCTTTGTTTCCCTTGTAGTCACACTCATACAATTATGTAGTCACATACTTCTTTTCTATTATTATTATTATTATTATTATTTTTTTGTTTCTTAATCAAGTTACGAGAAGTGGCTTCAGTACCACACAATGTATACGCGTACAAACAATAAAATGCCTCGAATCATTTGAAGCAAGATTACTTCGATTATTTTAGAGAGATCACTTTAGCGACGACAATAAATAATGATGATAACTGTCTATTTATAGAACACTGCGTTGATCGTGTCGTTTTATATAACGGAATAATTCCAATTACAATGAAATTACTTCATGTGGTCCGACACCGAAGCAACTTTTCTTTCGTAATTGGTAACATGAAAAATAAAAGGACTTCGTTGTCTATTCAAAATATTGAAAGTATGTTTTGCGATTAGACTTGTATCACCTGAGAGAAACCAAATCACAACTCGCATGAAATTATAATTGGCTAGAACAATCAATCGGTGTTTCGTTGACAAAAAAAAATATATATATATACGTACAATAAAATGTATATATGTATGTACAGTATTCAAAAATTACTACGAGCTTATAGGAACCCTGTCGATAATATCGTCAACATGAATGTATTATTCTATGCCTGAACTATCAACCGAATATATAAAATACCCGCGTACGTATATACACGTTATAGGTAAAGTCCAATTTCTAATTAAAATGAAAATTTTAATCTTCATGATGTAATAATATTGTACAAAAAACACGAATACTAGATATAATACCATTCGTTGCGTTAATATTTTCATTTTGGTTCATCGGGTAGTTATTCACAAAGTAAATACAATCTTCGAAGACTTTACCTGTAACCCATGCGATTAGAGTAATTACTCCTAACCAGCATAATTATTCAATTCGAAATTGACACTGATTTTATAAATATTATATCTCCTTTCCAAATGGTTTCTTCTAGAGATACCCCACGTCACACCGTCATTCCGGCAACAATTTAGGCGTGATAATTGGAAGTTATTACAATTAATGCATACGTACGTATCATGATTTTTCTTAATAAAGACAAACATTTACCAATTCACATAAAAAATCATGCTAGTCTTTTGATATTCTAATTCATGCTGATATATATATATACACCGTAGTTAATATACATCAATAATCAGTCGTGTGTACGATTGCGTGGTCAAGTCGGACCATTACATTATCACAAATAAATGCTAAAAATTAAATGTCCTATCAATTGTGTCTTCCTTGAACTTTAAACGAATAGATCCGATTGGTATTATTAAAATTCGCTTGTCACTGCGTAACAGGTTCATTAGCCCTTTCGCTCCAAAGAACGTATATGTACGCTTTTGAAAAGTGATCGCTCACGGACGAATGGCGTATACATACTAAATATATATATATATATATATTATATTACATAAATTTTGGTCTTAATAAATCTAATTACTGTAATAAATTCCATTACAAAGTGTACAGAACAGAAAACGAAAACGTGTGTCGTAAGTGGTGGAGTTCTCCGTACGTCAACGTTGAGCCGTCACAGTTTTGTTCCGTCCACAGCGGGCACATTTTCTCACAAATGTGCCGGAGCGAAAGGGTTAAAGTGTCGTTTCTGCTTCAACATACTATTTAAAAAAAAAAAAAAAAAAAAAAAAAAAATAATTGAAGAATCGATTCCAAATTGAAATCAAAGTTGTTTTCTACCGCTATTTGACCCTGGAATACATAATTTCTTTTATCCGGGATAACAGACCCCTTCCTCTCCAAAAGAACGAAATCCTAAGAAATCATCGAAAGAAGTACCTGTAATAGGTACAAGTGGAGTTCGAATAATTCAACCCTTTGATGATTTGACCTCTCTTAAATGAAGGTAAATGGTGTGTAGCATGGTGTGTAGGCAACGAATAACCCATTATGTGCCATTCTAGGATTAAGATAGTGTGTTACACGTTCGAGGTCTCTGACAACAACAGAGACTTCGCAATCTTGCCGCAGGGCTGGACTCTACCCCCGCTCTCCTGCTGAGGCCTCGCGATTTGATAAGTAATTAGATATTCCGGATATGCTTGTTCGCCTCTATAGACAACGTATTCGGGAAAAACCAAGCCACCTTGCGACGGTCTGCCCATTACACTGTGATGACCGGGTGGTGCATGCGCCATCTTCATCGCGGAGAATTGCAGAAATGATTTGCCCAGTGTGACACGACAGAGTAATAAATGTCTACAAGCGAGAAAACATTTCATTGAAGTATGGAAAAAATTGTTTAGAAACAGAATTCATGTATTGACCCTTTAATATCTTCGATTAATTCACTCACCTGTGGCAAATGTAACAACTTCTGTCTTTGTGTGCCGGGCATCCAGTGCCTCCGCATATTCCATAGACATACTGGTTACTTTTACTGCTGTGCTCCGCAAAATAAATTCCTGCTCCAAACATACCGCCGATATAAGCATGCCGTTCGTCGAAACCTTTCTGAACGATGGCGTTAATAAATGGACTGCCATGAAACAGCATTCTTTCATTGGCTTGCGGCAACGTCGAGCCGGGAGTGATCCTAGATCCAGTACCAGGGGAGGAAGGCGCTGCAGCACCAACTTCCTCTGCCACTTCTTGCCTTCTATGCGCGTATCGCTCCCATAGTTTACGATTTTGCACTTTTTGTATCTGTTTTTGTAAATTCAGGATTAGTAAAATATCACACTTGTATCTTTTAGGTGGAATGAAACAAGACATACCCTAACTATGTTGTATCTGGAAAATATACCACCGGAATGGCCATTATCTCTATGTTGTCTAATAGTACTCTGCATTTCTTCCTCGACTGCTAAAAATTCTTTGTCCTCTGCTAATAAATCCACTAACAGCGTTCCGGGGGTAAGGGTCGGCTGCCAAGGCGTACCAGCGGTAGTGTTTAAAAGTTTCTCCATTCCTTTGATTAGCTTATGTCTATAACCGTACGCCGAAACACCGACTTGCTTCAAATCCTCGTGACCCATCTCGGCTAATATGTCCAACGTAATCTGCTCCTGTTCGAACAGTTCCAACAGATGTTCTAAAGCAAGACTCTGAAGGAATCCAGCCACTGTTGTGATATTCGAGTTGTCTTTTGAATCTTTGCAATCTCTTTCAGAGCATGTTTCAGACGGCGGCATTGGACTCAGACAAGAGGACGGTCTGGCGAGCGGTACACAAAGAGTCATAGCGGTTCCAGAGGGCATGATGACGGTTTCTTGGGTAAGCGGTGGCGGGGGTGTAACTGGAACTGAATCAAAATTAATAAGTACCAGCGTGCATTAACAACTAATAAATATTACGCGTGAAATGTTAACTTACCTGCAACGATACTTGGCGGCCTACTATTAATAGTATTATTACCATTACCACTTAAGTTAATGGCTACACCAACGCCACCATTACCGGATGGTACCGACGGCACTACTTGCTGCGAAGCCATAGCATCTTGCAACAAACATCTCACATCGTCAGCGCTAGCTAAATCCACAGGGGTTTGTCCCTCTTGATTTTTTAAGAAAGGATCCGCACCGTGGGCCAACAAAAGGGCGCACAGCTGCGTTCTTCCCTTCTGCGCTGCTTCATGAAGTGGCGTGAAGCCCCATTTGTCAGTTGCGTTTACCACAGTATTATATTTAATGAGTAATGCAGCGATATCTAAGTGACCGTAACTTGAAGCATTGTGCAGCGGTATCAATCCGCCTTTATCCTGAGCATTTACATCAGCTCCACGTTCAAGCAAAAATTCCGCTACCTCCAAGTTATTGTACCCCGCTGTATTAAAATACCAATAGATTAAAGTGTACTAAAGAAATTAAGGTGGGAATAGCAACGTGTAACTCACCAGCTAAGTGTAACGGTGTACTATTGCGACCTTGTGCATCCCTACAATTAATATTGTCTTGAGTAACCAGTCGTTGTACCCTGGCCAAATTGCCCTTTTTTGCTGCGTCCAGAAGAGCACTGTTTCCTCGTAACAAGTCTGCTACGTCCTGGTCACCATCCCTAACTAAATCCAACGGTGTCGCTCCGTCTCTATTTTTTTTAGTGGCATCCGCGCCGTGTCTCAATAACAATCTAACTATTTCGTATTTTCCTTTAGCAGCAGCCTCGTGTAACGGTGTAAATTTCCACAAATCCGCAACGTTCACCGATGCACCATGTTTTACTAATAATTCTGTTACTTCATAGTGACCATAAGAGCAGGCATTGTGTAAGGGAACCAGTCCACTAAAAGTACAAATATGAAATATTACGAAGTGCCGCTTGAAAACTACTATCTGGAAACGAAGAGGAAATTATAAAATATATTCACCCTTTATCTTTGGCGTGTACGTCTGCTCCATGTGCCAATAAATATTCGACTACGGGCACTCTATTAAATCCCGCTGCAAAGTGCAGCGGTGTGGAATGCCTACCATCCAAGTCGCGACAATTAACAGCATGCGGATTCGTTTGTAAAATTCTTTCCACCGCAGCTAAATCGCCGGATTTACTTGCCTCCAACAGTTGCGCTTCCGCGTCGTCTGTCCCGCTTGGTGGATCTATAAAAGAATAATAAGAACGGAAACATTCTTTGGTTACAAAAACATTTTTTGCTCGAGACAAGTTAAAATTCGAACCTTGTAGTATTTTAAGGACATTTTCCGCAGCTACTTGTGCCGCGGTATAGCCCTGAAGTGATACTATAGATGGATCAACATTGTACGATAACAATATTCTGCAAGCTTGCACATTGTCTTCTCTAACGCACCTGTTTATACAACAATAACTTTTAATAAGAAAACACCAAAGGTCTCTTCAAAGAATAATAATCGAGCATTCGCAACGTTTTATACGGTTGACGGTACCTGTGTAGTGCAGTTTGCCCTAATCCATCTAAAGCATTGACTTTCGCATTATGTCTAAGTAACACATCCATTGCATCGTAATGAGAATGATCAGTAGCCACATGAAGCGGCGTTAAAAAGTCTTTATTTTTCTCATTTAAGGCAGCATTTTTCCTAATCAATGATTCTATTACTTGTTTTCTCTTGGGATAGGGGGATGCAACGGCACAGTGCAGTGGTGTGTCCCCAGTATATGGGTGTTTAAAGTTTACAACTTCTTGGGACAGGTACTTTTTTAACTTAGTAAGATCTGCCTGCCTGCAGGCATCCAAGAGGCAGTGTCCCTTGTATTCGTCTACAATTAAAGTGTATCTAACAAAGTCATATTCTGCGTGTACCGTTTCTTTTTTTTGTTTTATATAAATATATAAATGGCGCTTTTACTGTGGCAGTTTAGTTGAGTTGGATCTGCACCCTCGCTTAAAAGTAGTGAGCACACCTCGGCTCTGGATTTACTAGCGGCTTCATGCAGCGGAGTGAATGCCCATAAGTCACTGGCATTAACTGCTGCACCATGTTTAAGAAGTGCTTCAGTCACTTCAAAATGACCATAAGAACAAGCATTGTGGAGTGGTACAAGACCTCTGTAAAGTACACATCAGAGATTATATTGTGCGAAGCCTGATAAAACTTTTCTTACATCAGTCAAAATATATACCCTTTATCTTTTGCGTGCACATCTGCACCATTTTGCAGTAAAATCTGCACCACTCTGGATCTATTATATCCAGCAGCTAAATGCAATGGGGTTGATCTTCTGCCGTCACTTGCATGGCAGTTTACATTCAATGGATTTAGAAGTTGCAGAAGGCGTTCCTCGTTTCCCGATCTTGCTGCTTCTAATAACTCATCTTTTTTATATTCTCCTGTTAATACTGGTTTAGTTACAGGGTCTGCTAATTCTAAAGCTGTCTTTCCTTCCGTGTTTCTGATATTTGCATCTGCTCCGTGCTGTAGCAGAGCAATACACACATCTATTTTACCCTATAAAAAAAGAGGAGAAATTTATAAACCATAGGAAACTAGAAAATGTATTAAATACCAATAAATCGAATAGAAATGAAAAGTACCTTAATTGCAGCCTCGTGCAATGGTGTATAATTCCAATTATCCCTAGTATTTGGATTAGCTCCTGCTTCCAAAAGAAGTCTTACCACATCAGAATGTCCAAAGGAACAAGCATTATGCAAAGGATGCAAACCACCATCATCGCGTGCTTGTATAGATGCTCCAGCAGAAAGTAAAAATTCTACAACATCTCTTCTACCGTAACCTGTGTATTGGGAATATAAACAAAAATTAATACCACAATTGATTACAGGAAGTACTCCTTTATGACTAACTTATAAAAGGGTCACAGTAATAGTGAACGGTTGATACTTATTTATCGATTAAATTAAGAAAAATTCACTACACCAGAGTAATTATTTACAACTGCAGAATGACAACATGTAGAAGTGACTTTTCAGAGACGATCAACCTCCACGACGTGACACGATAATATTGCGTTCTCAATAGCCAGTGACGTATAGAGAGAAATCGTAGACCACGAGTGAAATTTGATTAATAACGGCAGATTGTAGGGACAGAGAGAATAAAGAGTTTACCAGCTGCAAAATGCAGGGGGGTGGATTTGCGTCCGGCAGTGTCTCGAGCATTGACTGTCTTCGGTGTAACCAACGCCTTTACCCTCGGGAGGTCTCCAGTCTTGCATGCCTCGAACAGCTCCCTTAAAGGGTCCGCGTTCCCCGATCCCGACAGGGAATCGGCATTTGTCAACGTCGATCTACGTCCTGCCATTTTACACCGCCATTTTCACGCCACTATCCGACAGATACACTTCACTGGCTCATAGTGTTGAAAGCTTTCACGACGACACCGAGATGAGTTGCTATGGCACAACTCAGTGGCGCCGCCTTCCACCCAGAAACGATCATTTTTTAAAACTCCGCCATATGAAGCAATATATACTGCCGTGGGATGTAAGAACGCTAGTATAAATAGCGAATTTGATTATGAGCAATTAATAAATATCATGATTAAATGACATTCTATCTACATTCGACAATACCATTGAGAAACAAAAGTATTGAAAATGGCACGATAAAGGTGCTATGACATTTTTTATGTTTCTGTATTATGTATCGTTATCATAGTTTACATAAAAGAAATACAATACGTATTTGCTAATATGGAATGTGTAACTCTTTCTACTTCCACACTCTTACAGTTTCACATTTATCCTTACTATACATTATTTCTTTTCCTATGTACTTTGTGTACAAACGTTTTTTCCTTAAATGTCCTCTGATGGAATTTATGTATGATTTATACATGGAGAGGTGAATTGTTTGTACATCTGTCAGTCGAACTTCTATGGCAATTTGAGGAATAAAATATGTCGATTAATGTTTCTTTTTATAAAAATGTATCTCTACTTATGCAAATGGTACCACCATCATTTAAATGCACAAAGCTTTTCAACCAGGTACTTCACTATAATCATAGTGCTTGCAATAATAATGCTTATTATTTTTAATTCAATAAATTTACAGGGAATGTTTGATAGATCTAACACATCAGGTTTTATTCATATTTCTCATTACTTATTATCAATATATAATTTAAAGAGGTTCCAGAGAAATGTTATCTGGCCAATCTTGACTAAGATGGATGAAAAAACGTATCGTATAGGGGTAAAAGAATATTTAGAAGTTATAGCAGTTGAAAATCCTGATATTAATTTTCCTCCAATACTTATGACTCACATATTTCGAGCAACAGGCATGAGGTTTTTGACTATTATGTGGAAATTATCACTAGTTACTCTCAGAACTTATATTATGAAACAATGTAATTGCAATGACAGATAAAAGTTATTGTACAATTTACTTGTAAATTTATAAAATTAATATTTTTCAGATGAGGGAACATTGTTGCAGGCTCCTAATGCAGGTGACACCAATAATCTAACTAAAACCTACATTACCAATACAAATCTAGAAAAGGAGTCCATTATTTTTAAGTTCTATGAGGAATTACAATTAGTTCTAAAAAGCTTTGAATACTATATGCAGTAAAGTTCACTTTTACATTGTACAATCAACCATTTTATAGATTCTACAGAAATCTGTATTTGTTTCAGAAATGAATTAAGTGCTTTAAAAAATCTACAGACTGATATCTTTGAAATTAAGAAAACTATAGAAAAATGCATAGAGGTTGCTCCAGTTAGTCGGATTATTGCAACACGATTAGCAGATCCTATGGACACAGAAATTTTAACTTGTTTGTATTTAATGTAATTTATTTGAAGTTAATAGTAATTTATGATTTACATAATTTTAAATTTCTAGTGTGGAAGACAAATATTGACATAAACATGCAGTTCCTTCATTATAGAAATTCAAAATTACAAAAATTTAAGGCTCTTAGTAACACAGTCAAAAATACAGTCTTGAGTTTATGCAGCAGTGTTGAAGTCTTTGATGCTAATAATCTTTCAAAGGTAAACACTGAGGTAATGCAACAGGCTTTCAATAATAATGCAAAGGTAATTAAATAATACAAAATTATACAGATTATCAGCAACTTAATCAATGGTTTATAATATATTTTATTTGAAGCAGATTAGCAGTGGATTATACATGAATGGCTGCTTAATATTTTATTCTCTATTATCGATACTTAATCAAATACTAAAGCAGATGGAATCTTGTCTAAAAATGAGTAATTTACCTGATTTATCATATTGTGAAACAACAATTAGTACGTACAGTGGAATGCTAAAATCCAAGAAAGAAGTATTTGAAAAAGTTTTAAAGGAAGTCACTGATCTTTCATCACAGCTACAAAGTAGCTTACACGAGAAGTCACTAAACTATACTATAGAAAGAGATTTCTTTTATTCTATATGTAAAAAGGTACTGATCACATGGCCAAAATTAGAGTTCTGTATTGATGAAGGTACAGACAAGGAAAAGTTAGACAACATATTATATTTGTCTCCTCAGAAAGGTAACATCTGATTTTTAATAATATTAATAAAAATTAGAAGTTTTTATATTTGATGTTTATTCTGTGAAAATTGTTTAGGAAAGTATAAGTCTTTGTTCAAAAGATACAAGAAAAATGTACCTGATTCACCAAAAAAATTACTATTAAGTTCTTCATACAATAATTCTTTACAAAACCTAACACCAAACTGGGTATCTCCTAAGAGACACTCTTCAATTTACAAGAGCTCACCTAATAAAACAAAAGTCTCACCCAGATACTCCAAATTATTTTCTCCCAAAACTTCAAGGACACATTTTAAAGGTTTGTAATAAGATTCTACATCATTAAATTAAGAATGCATTAAGAAATATATAATTTTAATACCTTACTCAGGCAATCATGCCACATCTAGTCCAATACAATTTAAAGAAGGGGAAACATCGGAGAAATCTAACAGTCCAATAAGTCATCAATCAGTGAATTTAGAGGCTGTAATAAAAAATATCTTTGATCTTTCTCAACAGATTTCCAATGTTGTAAGATTTCAATCTAAATCCTAAAAGGAATAATTTTGTGATTTGTTTCAAAAAGCCTGGGTTCGAAAATATATTTGTAAGTAATGTATGTACACGATAAATTAATAAACGAAATTCTGTTTTTATAAAAATAATTGTACTTCTTACACGTTTCTTAACGATAATCCCAATTTGCGTGCTATAACCACAATTACTCGAAGTACACGCGTAAAAATTCCGAATGTACTTAGTTCACGTAGGTACGTTGAATCGTGCGAAGAATATCTATCAATATGTTTTTATGCATTCCCGTTTTTAGGTAGATTCGCGTAACCTTATTCGCGAGATTATTCAGTTTAAATACATACGATGGTTTACGAGGCATACTCGTCAGCTGTAAAGAAGAAAGATAACCCAGTCGATGTGCATGAATGAGGGAGTAGCAAAGGAAAAGCGTGATTGGTGAAAAGTTAATTTCTCAGCTAATGCACAGCCAGTTACAATCGGGCAACGTAATCATAGACCCGCATTAAATGCAGCTGCACTCTGTGTACAGTAGCTTTCGTCCCTTGTTGTTTGTACATTTTAGCCGCAAGCTGAATTTTTACAAATATTAAGAATTCGGTAGCGCTATATATATGCAAACCTGTAGGTTATGATCCATTTGTACACAGTTGTGTTCGAAAGATCATTGCTGATTTTTTATGAGGAAGCGGGTTTGTTTGAAAGGAAATTTTAGCCGACATAATGTTGACCTGCGTGGCACATGGTTGTCTTACGAATCAGGATACGAAAGTCAACGGAAACGATGTTCCGTTGTTTCCTTTCCCCGACGATGTTGTGTGAGTGATTTGTTCTTCGTCTTTCTCTGCAAGTTTTCTCGATCGGTAGAATTATTGTCGACTATTTTCAGTCAAAGAAGTCGATGGCTGAAGAATTGTCAATTAGATGATAATCCTGAAAGCAATAGATCACCATTGTACATCTGTAAATTGCATTTTGAAGAAGAGAGCTTTACAGATTCTATGAAGTTGAAGCCTGGTGCTGTTCCAACTATTTCTGATAAAGTAGAAGGTATGTGAAACAATGGCAAATACTTTCTGTATGTGTACTAATCTAAATTTGTATTATAGAAGGGCAGAGGAAACGTAAAGCAGACAATACACTTGAAACTGGATCACCTAAAACTATACCACTGAAACAGAAGAAACTGGATGATGGTTCACATAATTTAGTAACACCACCGCAAAGTCCTTGTGCTCAACTCATAAAAAATGTAAATAATTTTATCACACTTTCAAGGAAATTTTCTTGAAAAAAGCTGCAAAAGACCTCCTTAAGTTGTACATATAAATAACTTATAATTCTTATTATATCATATTACAGGCTGAAGAAATTAATGGAGAAGATAAAATGGATGTACCTGTTGATAATGTTTCATTGAATGGATCTCCCATTTTAAAGTCTGGATTATGTCAAACTATAAAAATAGGAAAGAAACAATACAGACTAACCATTCAGATAGACAAAATATATGGTAAACCATGCCCTAGATCTAGGAAACTTACAATATTAGCACAGTTGAAGAAAGAAAAACCACTTTCTAGAACTGTCAATGATACTGATCAAAAATATATCTCTGTACAAAAAAGGATTTTTTGTACAAGAGGTGGATGCAAATTAAAAAAGGCTGTGTATGATTCAAAACCAGCATTTCAGTGTGAACACTGTAATAAGTATTACATATTGAAAAGGTCTGGTACTTCAGGAGAGAAGAATGTCTGTACTATATGTAACAAAGATTTTCCATCTGTACAGTCCCTAAACAGTCATACTAAGACCCATCTTATATGTGATATGTGCCAAACAGAATGTAGCACACAAATTCTATATGATAAACACATGAGATTACATGATAGTTTAGATCCAGTGAATCCCTACAAATGTCACCAGTGTACAGAAATGTTTGAACTGCAAAAGGATGTGAGGCAGCACTGTTCAATTGTTCATCCTGCAATTAAATTGCAAAATACCATTTTGCAAGTGACTACATCGCCATTGACGCAGCAAGTGCCTCAACAGCAAGATTATCGTTGTGTCAGTTGCAACGTAACATTTAGGAATGAACAAGCTTATAGGTAGCTTTCATTGCCATACAAGTATGGTGCAAAGTTTTCTTGTCATCTACAGATTGTAATCTATGAATATTTTTACAGGAACCATATAAGTTCTCATAAAAAGAAAGAAGGTTTAAGGTGCAGTATTAGTGACACCAATAATGTATTTCCAGTACCAAATCCTTTAACCGGTAGTCAAATAGGTATACTTCGAGCTGTGAAATTCAGTTGTAGAGTGTGTTCCATGGAATTCGATAATGTCGGCGAGGTCGACAAACACACGAGAACACATTTAGAGGAAGACAACGAAGAGGAACGGAAGTGCAATACATGTAAAAAACAATTCAAAACAAGCGCGCAACTCAGTGAACATTTAAAAATTCACGAATTGCGTACGCATTCTTGTCCTGTATGCTCCAAAAGTTTTATCAACAGAACGACTTTGAAAATACATTTAAAAATGCACGGTGAAACGTAGGTCTTAGTAATGAGATTCTTCGTTACTGTTAGTACAGGTTTAACTCAGTTTCGAGTAGTCTTGGGATTGTGCACTTCACCGTGTCAACGTTTGTAATTTATCGACAGTGATGCGCTGTATCAGCCACTAAAGGCACGAACAGTTAAAAACCCTTGTATACTGTGTACAAAATTGTTTGTTAACTTTATTGGCATTTGTAGCCAATGTGGCGTGAAAGGAAGATTATGTATGTTTATGAAGAAACATTAAATTCTTGACTAATAATTCCTATAGTATTTCTTCACCAAGTTTTAAATGGACGACCATGGATATTCCTTGCTGAATAAATATTTCGTTTATACAAGTTAATCACTGTCTTTGCATTAAGTCTTGATAAAAATACGTTTCCTTATGAACAAAATTCAAACTGCCCCCTCCATGAATGACTATCCTCTGGCGCCAAGATGGAATCGAATGAATGTATTGCGACTGTATTGTGCGTATGACAAAAAGAATATGTGTATACAAGAAACGAGATAGTACTCCACACAATTCCGCTTGTTCTTTTTCGTTAATATTTACGGTATTTAAAAAATGTTGCGGATATCGATAGCATCATCTAACAACCAAAATATGGTACTAATTGAACAGTAGCTTTGACGATTCGCCGTAGATGGCACTTCAATACCTTCTGCCCACTTTTTGTCACGTGTCAAAGAATTAATAATTATAGAACGACGCAATTGATAATCACTGATGTCTGTACAAAATTATGTACACACGAAATTGAATGTTACATCATAAGAAATAACTCTCGCATTAGCTAGCGACTGTCAGGTTGTCGAAGCGAGGTGGGTAACTATTTTGACCATCCGTATAGCCACCGCAAAGATTCACCGAAGAATGAAGCAGAATGAAGCAGAATGAAGATAATGGGTAGCCGGGTCCCTTTGAGGTATGCTTGCTCTTTGGTTGATGAAACGCGGGCGTAGAATGATCCTGATTTTCTCGAAAGAAGACGTCGGTTAAGGTGGCGGGAGGGATGGAAGGGAGATGGAAACGAGGGCAAACGAGCCAAAGGTAAAAGGGAGCCGCCGGCATACGAACGGGGGAACAATCGTGTCCGATGTTCACGGTGATCCTGTCAACGGAGACCACTTCAAACGTAGCCGGCCTCAATGTGTTTGTTTGGCCAACGTCAAATTTACTCGTGGAAAAGGAAAAGCTTCCACTCTCGTGTACCCTATTGCGAACGCTGCCAACACCTTGCTGGCCCTTGTGACGCCGCTGTTTTTCTCGTGTCCGAGCAAAATCGGATCGTTTCGTCGCGCTCGATCATCGGTAGTTGGGCGTGGCTCGTGTTCCCCATTGTCAAGATGCTGACTTTTCTCGGCTCGAGTCAAGTACTCTCTCTCACTCTCTGTTGTAATTCTTGGTAACGTATCGCGGCACTGTAACATGTCAAAGAAGTCAGAATGCCGTCCAAGTAGGGTCATGAAACAGGAATGTATAATTTTGAGGGGTTAACAAGTTATTTATGTAACTTCGGTGTGGTTATCTGTTTAGTTATAGATTTTGCATAATGCCTAAGAACAAGAAATACAGCGTATTCGAATTCAAGAGTTTTGGTCAACCAGGAACATTTTTTCGGTAACAATTGATACATCGATAGCCGCGGAAATTAATTTCTTTTTCATCCATTTTACGTACGTTTCAACGTTTTCCACATTTTCCATATTAAAAAACGTTTTTCATGCTTACGTTTACCGAAGCCAGAAGGAATCTTTTATTATCTGTAGATTTAAATGTAACAACCAACGAATATGGGCGTCGCTAGGGTGTCCCGGTGTATTTTGAGCGAAGGCAGATTAAAATGTATTCCGTGATTCTCCCGCCACACACAAAGATTCCCCGGTCGTTCACGGAAAATCATGCGATTTGTTACGCGACAGCCCTTCCCGTTTCCCTTAATTTCCACGGAACCCTCGGATAAAGGTGTAACAGCCCAACACTCACACAGGTCTGTATCCTCTTAGCTACGCGTAGAAAACCATGGCGAATTTATAGAGTGCTTTTCTTTATCCACGTAATACCTAGAGGACTGTTGTCCCGCAACTTTTCAGGCTGACGGACCGTCACTAAATACGCGCAGCAGACACGTATACGCGATGTTAACGTGAATTAAAGGATACCTGACGTCTGTATAAACGGATACGAATACTTTTACGATGCATTTACGGGAACAGTTGTTCGACTGAGAATCATACCAGGAGTCAGGATTTCACTACTTATGCGTTAAAGATGTATATTTACAGGGCTGTACTTGAGAAAACAGGCAAGTCTACAGAAAAATTTATTAAGGTGCGTATGCACTTGTTGCGTAACCTCGTATCGTATAACCGTTGTGTATCAATGTGAACGGGGCAAGCGTTGCATCATTGCGTATGAAAATGTATCGTATGGTGGATATTATTAAATATAATAATCGATACGCAACAAAAGGATACAGCACCTTTACGCCAGTCAATCCGAAATTATTACTATTCTGCTTCTGATTATCTTGTGGTGGTTCTTTTCACAGTATCAGCGATAATTTTCCGCCATTCTCGGTCACGATTTCAAGATCTCAGCACGACGATGATCGATTTGCCGCGCGTATTTGTGGAATTTTCACGCGGCTCCATTTTGTCGCGAGGCGTCCGAGCACGACGGACAAGAAGCATCAAAACGTTTTCGTGAAAAAGGGGGACGTCCCATGGTCAAATTTGCACGGTGCATTCGCCCGAATATTCCGCCAAAGGGTTAGCTTGGATACGCTAATTCACATCCGTGTCGCGGTGACCGGCATTCGCAGTCAGGAAGCTGTTTCTTCCCCCGTTGTTGTTCAGGACCGTTTATTCGGTGTCAAACGCGCCGACGATGCGTCGCAGCTGCGTCTGACGCTCTTGCATCTTTTACGAATACACTATAATGCACTTCTTTGGGTCATGAACGGGACCAACGAGACGCCTGAGACGTTGCATATTGTTACCTTCTGTACTTCTGATACGAATCATTTTATTCCACTACTTCTATTCCATTGTAATCAAGAAGATAATATGTATGTATTGTTGAATTCATAAACTGATCAGAATAAGTTTTGTCAGTGCTTACAGTGAAGACAATAGTACCTAATTAAAGTTATTCCAGTTAAAAGAAACTTTTTTTCTTATTTAAAAATACTTAATAATATAGTTCACGTTCACTCGAAGTAAGAAAGAGTATATCAGAGAATACAAATACATTTAACGTTTCAGAGAGAAGCTGCGACCACGAAGGGACATTTGTTCGAGAAAGGCCCGCGTCAGCATTAGTCCCGCTTCCATCTTAAGAGGAGATGCATTGTGGAAACCGCAGGACGCGCGTGCACCTATATGTTTATGAGACGGAAAACCGGGGAAAGATGCACCGTCGTTATACGCCGTGGAACGGAGAAGAGAAAGGACGAAGGAGACGTGAAGAATGGGTAGAGGAGAGACTGGGGAAACGCGCCTCTCCGAGCGTTGCGGGCACGGGCCATCTGGCGGAACGATCTTTTATAGGATCTATCTATCCCGTGTCTCCTCTCCTCAATGAAGGACTCACTCGCGTGGAAGTTCCTGGCCCTTTTGATTAATGGCCGACCAGATAAACCGCCTCGACTGTTCGATCGCGACGAGGAGGATCGACGGAAACCTATTCCCTTAAACTCCAGATAACACTCTTCAACACGTAAAATACCTCATTCGGTTGCTTTTGACATGAAACAATTTTTTGGACTCTCACGAACAAAATGATGTAAATTGTTATTATGTTATAGACATCTAAATATGTTTAAATAATGATGAAAGTGAAAAGGTCACCGAAGACGCAACAATTCTTGCTGATATTCTTCAATTTATTTTAGAAACTAAGGGTCTAGGAGACAATCTAACGATAGCACGCGATAGATCATACCTTTCTGCTATGGAAGGTGTCGAGGAAAGTTACAAAATCTGTTTTGTTTTCATTAGAGAAAGGTAAAAAGTCAAAATTTATCGAATACTGTAATTTAATCAGAAGCAATTGCTAGTTAAAATATCTGAAATCTTTCTAACTTCAGCGAACAAGATCCATCCACATCCAACAGAAAAAAAGCAGTCGAACTACTCATTGACACACTTACTTCATACGGAGGGTTTCTTAAGTCTCCATGGTCTAATCTTCCGCCCCCTGCATTCGAAGCCATCGAGGGCACGCAGTTTCACATCATCCGGAGTGAGTAAACCGCACGCATATGAGGATCGTTCACGCGTGCGTTTCGCCGCCGTCAGATGATGACAAAGACAACTTGTCGCTGCGGCGAGGGGAAGTAGAGAGAGAGTGAGAGAGCAAGCGAAAAAAAAGTGGCATAAATCATTGGCCGGGTATACACCGCTGCCGATGAATCCCCCGGTTGGGTTCATCCACGTGGAAGGGGCATAATCAAATTTCGGACCGCCATGCAAGGGGCGGCGACTCTGCGGTTCGTGCACACTTTCGAAGCTTTTCTGCTTACCCGGGAGGGTGGGACTCGGTCGAGGGGCTATTATGGGGCTTGCCACCGCTTACCCCCTCGGGCTACCACCGACTGGGGAGGTTTTCGACGGTCGTCCAACCGTGTAGCGAGCGGAGGACATGCAACCGACGTAACGCGTCGCGACGCCGCTCCCGTACGACGCATCGTGTGAACCACGGGAACCTCTTGCACACTGAACTTCCATTTTGCTTTTACTGTTAGCTCCTATTGAATTCTATTCCGTGAAGGATCGAAGATAATTGTTACGTTTGTACGTTCATTGTTTCAAAGTTTCCTTGATTTTGTGAAAAAAAATCCGTGGTTAAAGAGCGTTGATGATGGATCACACGATGGTCGTGATCGGTCAGAAATTTGTTTCCCTATTGTTCAAGGACGTTTGAATCCGAGAGGCACACTGATTTTTTGCGGAATCGGAACGGAATTCTACCGAGACGTATCATCGATCCGTCATTCGAGATTGACAGAAGTACAAGAACATCTGACGAGGCACGCGCCGTCGTTCGGTCATCTTTTTTTTTTAATCCTGTCGACGAACTACTGACCTCTTCAGGATAAAGTCAATAATGTTTCTTTTTCGGCGTACAAATTGCGAGACAGTGCTACGCGCACACTTGTTATGATCCACGGAGAAAGTCAACGATGCTTCGAAACGTCTAGAATAGGTTACCTTGTACAAGGTATAAAGTACCGCTTTCTTATACGCATTCTTCGTTTGTTAATCTATTTATTTATTGTAAGGGTTGGCAATATGTAACTGTACTGGTCTATTGCCGTACCGTATTCCACAGTCGATTGCGTCGCGTTTCCCCTTTATTATTTCCACACAGTCCGCTATAAAGTCATAAAGGGTCAATCCTAATCGCCTGTATTCATTCGACCGCAGATCGCAATCCGATATTACCTGCATGGACACGGGCAGTTTCGTTGGAATCGTGTCGCTCGCGAAATTTCCTGACTGCCAGGAATCCGGTTTTTGTCACGACCCCGATTGCCCCCCTCAAAACAAACCAACCCGACGGCCCTCGTTGTGTAACCGCAATTCTGTAATCCGCTACGCGCTTGTATACAGAATTTTGTCTTCTTTAGCGTTTAAAGGTCGATTTCTTACGTTAAATCTTCTCTTTCTTCGAATTTTCTAGCAAGCACGTCGACTTCGAACGATTTCTAACCGATGCCAGCGTCGAACGGAAGCTCGAAAGAACAAATCTCAGGACAAAACCAGCCCCTTTACGTTCATCTCGACTCGTTGTTATGACGTATCCTCGATGGAAAGTAAGACGGATCGAGGGATCTTTGGACTGCGAATGTTTCGATCGATCCATCAAAATCTTGCGACAGAACGGTTGCGTTTCCTGATCTCGCGATGCAAAGAAAACTATCCTCTTCTGGTCTCCTCGAAGGACGAATATCCGGACAACTTTTGACCACGTGGCTTTAGGATGCTGGAACTGACCGCCGGCTCCATCGAGCCAATCCTTTTTACGGAGTTCAGGAGGATTTACGCGAATTTCGCTCGGAATCTTTTGAATGGGAGAATAGGCAAAGAATATTGCGGTTCTAAGATTGTTTTGTGTCATTTCGAGCTGTTGGAAGCTATGGTAAATAAAAAAAAATGGCAGATCTATAATTTTCAGTTGCATAGAATTCTATGAAAGATGACAGTCCTTCAACAGGGATATTGGGATTTCCAGGAAAATAGTGAAGACTAGTAAAAAGATTTGATTTTTCTACTTGATCAGTTAAAGGTTGAATCTGATAGAACTCTTGACGCGGTAAATAAACATTTAACTATAATCAAACGACAGAATTTACGCATTTAAAATTGTTACAAATCAAGAATCTTAACAGACTTTCGAATGGGTTATTTAAATGAAGTGTACATATATTTGACACCTCTGACCACGTAATAGTCTTTGAAAATACAATTTAATATTAAGAAAATACATTTTCTATTCAACGGAAAGTGGTTTCCACGCTGACATTTTCTCTAATAAAATCGAAAAGATCAGCAGAGCTGTAAGTCAGGTCGACATAAGTGGAGGTGCAATTCACCACCCTCCCCCTTTTTCCCCGAATTAACCGGTACCTTCTGTTTTAGGGCCGGAAATGCTCCCGATTCCAGTGTCTTCTATTTGGTCGATTGACTTTCAGCGAGCAGTTCTCATGGAATATTCCGTATTGGAACGGGAACTTAACGATGTCGTAAATTAATGGACGGTATCGCACCTGCAACGATTTGACGCGTCTCGCGAGGGATGATCGTCGGCGTATTACCTGGTAGAAGTGGAACAGGTATATAGCATCGACTTTCATTACCGGGATTATAATGATCGATATTACGCTATGCGTCATTTCGACGGGGATCCCGTGGAGGATAATCGTTGTAATAGTACAACCGAGCGTGCAACCAGTAAATTCCGTTACACTGTTTGGAAACAGTCCCGTGATTCCCTTGGCCGGCGGGATTATCGAGCATTCTGTTGTCCTAGATCCGATTATTTCGCGAGCCATTATAAACGACACGCGATCGGAAATCCCACCGATGGAATTTTTGCCGCGATCCCGTGGAAACCAACAGGTCACGTAGCAATTTTAGAATTTTAATAATAATATTTATTTTGACGGGAAAAAAACTTTGATACAAAGGTAGCATAAATATAAACAAGGACACGTGAATAAAAGATGGCAAAAATATAGCAATTATTTGAGACTGGTTAATAATTTATGTCGAAATACGCTTAGTGACAGGTAAAAAAAATCGAAAGATTCATCAAGAGTATGGGCTTATTATTAGACTGTGGATGTTTATGCATTTATAGCCTCTCTTAGCTTGGAAAATGCAGTAAGATGAAGGATTTAAGCAATTTAATAATTTAATTTGTAGTACAGAATTTAAAGTTCTGCTCCATTTGAATTTTTAGATATTGATATAGGAAATTATAAGTTTGTATAAACCTCCGCAGTCTATTTATTGTACATTAGTAGACTATATTCTATTTGTCGCTTGTTGGGAATTGATGACACTTTATTTGCAATCTATCGAGATCCACAACTGATTTTGTTTGGAACTCGATGGAAGCGAAGTAGGAAAAAAAGATTGCCGCAGCACACGACGATGTTCTCGTCGCTTTGTCCACCTAAATATTTACTCGGCCATGAACGAGGTTCCGTCTGAACGGACTGTTTAGATATTCTATTCAAATTAAACTGTTACGATACCCAGAAACTATCATTACGCAATTATAACAAGTCGAGATAAAACATAATTGCATGATTCGTGATAATTTCTGTCTAATATTCCTTCATTTCAACACTAAAGCCACTATTCCTGCATTCATCGTTGACTTCATGCCAATGTCCTATAAAATACATGTAATCAACTTTTCAAAATCTATCTCTCTTTTTGCTCCATTTCTTCTGAGAAGGAATGTGTAGCTTAACCTTGTATGTATAAGTTTAATTTACGCTATTATTTTATTTATTATTATGCATACTAAATGGACTATTACTTGCATTTAACTGCAAAAAATATAACATTTATTCAAAGATACTGGTCATTCGACCGTCTCAGGAAAAATGATAGGTATATATAAACAGTCAGTAGATATAGTATTAAAATAATTTCGATAATTCTCGATCTACAAACACCAGCGTTGTCTTCGTACAGAGGCCTATATCTACGCTCTACAAAGAAAGAAACAAACAAAAAAGTCTTGTGTATCCAACCTAATACACAGCGAACCCAGCGATCGTTCGAAGGTTCGCGAAATTCTATAAGCCCCCCCCCCCCTCTCCGCCCGTGAATTCACTATTTACCATCGATCGTTACTGGTACATACGCGTGCAAGTAGATTGCGTAGTCGTGTAAACGTCGTTGAAACGGGATGATCCGTGGCGAAACGGAACTGAAAGTCAGCCGATGATCTCGTGACGAGAGTAACGACAAAAGACCGCGGGGTAGAGGGAGAGGGATGAAGAGGGAGGCATCAATGGTGCCCCGAGCTGGTTTTGTACGAGAAGATCGTTTTGACAGAAGGGCACCGCGGCATTTTCGAGGGTGCAAGAGAGATCGTGCACGCAGGGGCGAGGGGGTTGAAGGGAAATAGGTGGCACAACCCCGAGGGTCGCGTCGTCCGACTTGGAGTGTTACAATAAATCAACGGAGACGCGATTCCACCGGTGCTCCACCCTCGTAACGTCTGCAGAATACATATCCGAATAGAGGGACACGAGGGCACACCCGTTGGACCGACGACTGTCCCGTTTCATTGTGTTTAAAGTGCCTCAAAGCTCGGATCCGTCGCGTATCAGACGTATAAACAATTTATTATTTGCTTCCTGTCACGCGTCGTTTGTTGGACAATATCGGAACGGCGGGGGTGGATTTCTTACAAGGACCAGTGATTATTTTTTTTGGTGTATTTTTAGCAGTTTATTTAACACATTTATAAGTACATGTAGTCGAAATTTGTAAGACACGATTTTTCGACAATTCTAATTTCTACAATTAAAATACATTTTCGTTAACGTTCGGTAAATTATAATTACGTTTGAATCTTACAGTCCATAGTACAGTAAAAAGTACATCTAGTAAATGTTTATAATTATTTCTCACTATTTTACGAAAATCCTATTTCTACAATTGGAATCCGAAATTTTCCTTAACATTCGACACATAAAGAACACCTAGTATACACGTCTCTGTGCTCGTCGAAGAAAGAAATTGTCCGACAACGACCTATAAACAAAGACTGTCGGAAATATTCCAACGTTCAACAACACAGATATCATCTTTTTTGAATCTTTTGGATACCTCAGTGCCCCGAGCGTCAACGACAGTTTGCGCGATCAATTGCTTAAAACGTTAAAATCGATATATTAACAGTGATAAAAAAAACAAGAAACATTCAAAAGTACATCGATAAGGGGTGAAATCACGGCTAGAGATCGAGAGGCGAGAAGAGAGGGGCAAGGTGGGCCTGATAGGGGGTTGTACTCCGTTTTCGCCCCGCCATATTCTCCATCCAGTTGGTTCCCTTTTCTCTGTCGGTTCTCCAGCAGGCCTTGCGCCAGCCCGTGACAAAAAGGGCAACAGCCTCGTGGTCCGTGGCGACCGATTAATTTCGGACAAAAGAGACTGCGTATCGCGCAGCGAGCCCTCGTTAGGCCCCCCTAAAACCCACCTTTGCCCTTTCTGCGAAGGGCGACTTCGACTCCGTCTCCCTACTCCCTCGTACTACCTTCGCCGCAGAACAACCCAATCCCAGCTAGAGGGTGGGAACTAACGTCGGTATATAACAGTGGGGTGAGCTTTGCTTGAGGAACAGTCGCCCTACAGAACTTGTCGCTGCCGTGTCTTGTTCTGCGGCCAAAGTCTTGTGTTACAGACGGAGATTTAGTTTTTCGGTAGTTTTATGCGTCATACAACAACGTGATAGAAGAAGTTGGAGTCAAATAGTAGGACGAATAACAAATAGTGTGTTGTGAAAAGAATAAATAGTTTACGGAAAGTTCAGTATCCTTTGTTGGAATCTCATCCGGAAGAAATATGTGCGACGCTCAGAGCACCATGTTCTTTAGACCATGGAATGTTACTGAATCTTCAGACAATCGATCAAGCAAAAATTTAAACTGTGATAAAAATGAGAAGACAACTTCACCTTGCATGAAACAAGAGGATGATCAGGATAGTGTAATGTCCACATCTACGTACGAAGGAAGCAGTGTCTCTAGTAATTCAGAAAATGAAGTTTCTGCCACAAATATCAGCAGACGACGATTCAGGCGAACAAGTGAAGCTTCTATAGAAGCATTCAGCAGGTCGAGTTCAGTTAGTAGTGAGGATGCAGTCCCAGGAAACAATTTAAACTTATTAAATAATTTTGTCTACAATTCTCCATCGACATCCACTGCCTCAACGAACTCAGTTATCCATGATAATTCGATGATCACAAATAAAGTTGATTCCACCATGGTCAATCCTTGGTCCATACCGAACACAGCATTCTCTGTGGACTATCTCCAGAGATTAGGATTCACACATAACACCTCAGCTGCTCTGAGAGACTGTTCCACACTGATGCCGTTAAATATCGGATCAACTGCAATTCAAACATCAACAGTATCAACAACCGGCCAGCCCTTCTATTACGAATATCCAGGAGTTCATCTTACCCAAGGATTGTATCAGCCATCGGTGGAGCACGCTGTGGAAATGATTCACAGACAAGACGTGGCGGCTAAGCAGATGAAGAAATTGCGGCCGAAGAAGTTTAGATGTGAGCACTGCGACGTCGCTTTCAGTAATAACGGCCAGCTCAAGGGGCACATCCGAATACATACCGGTAAGTTTCACCTTCGTGTCCTGAACTTTTCGAATTATATAGATAGAACGATGTTGTGACTCCGTGGAACGGTTAACCGCAACTGTCAATGTCACGATAACGTTCGATTTTAAACGATTCCGTTGCGATATTACTAGACTATCTTATTCTTGTCAAAGGTAAATTCCTAAAAAATGGAAGAAACTTCATCTACACATCTGGCTTTCAGAATCACTTCGAGAAGTGTTCTTACAATATTGAATATAATAATCTTGTTCTCACAGAATCGTTCAATATTTATAGTTGTAACAGACAAACTTTGATATAGCTTTGTTCATTTAATAAAAATTTGTTAAACTGTGTAATCATCACTGAAACTAAAATATTTCATTTTTTTTATTACAGGCGAAAGACCTTTTAAATGCGATGCGGATGGTTGCGGCAAGTCGTTCACCAGAAACGAAGAATTGACGAGGCACAAGAGGATTCACACAGGATTAAGACCACATGCTTGCGTCGTTTGTGGAAAACGTTTCGGCAGGAAGGATCACCTGAAGAAGCATACGCGTACTCATGAAAATCGTGATCCGTACAGAATGTCCGCCGCCGCTTTGGGGATGTTCGCTTTGGGACACGCGCTACCTCAAGGACATCCGTTCCCTCCATACGTGTATCCGATTTGACGATCTCAGCGATTCGATTGCGGTTATTTTTATAAGATAGCGTATATATTTTTGTATATTGTACACTGGTTCAAGAAATTTTTATATATATTGTATATTTGGATAACATTTGACAATAACACGACTGCCTTTGATAAGATTGATTCTGTATTTTTATGAAGGATCGTTCGAATATTATCGTCGAGAAGAATATTGTATTTTTGATAAGAAATACTTTTGTTTTTATATTTCTGACGAGCAACAACCAGTGTTCCGATGCTAGTCGAGGAAAGTGAGAGTATTTGATCCTGTAAATATCGTAGAGTTTATCAGATGCGTATATATTGATAAGAATATGACTGAAAGATTATAATATAATTGACGATAAATAAATTGTTATCTATTTTTCACGGTATGTCCCGACTTTTCCATTCGCGAAGCATTTCCTTTTAGTTACAACCAATAGTATTTAGGAAAACTTGTCAAGGAAAACCATAAAACGGAAGGAAAACAGTGTACAATTTGTAACAATTTGTTACTCTGGAAAACACTGTAAAATTTGTAACAATTTCTTACGTTGTCACTAAACAAAATGGAATATTCTAAAATCATAAATTTTAAATATTCTAAAATAATGTAACCTTTCCTAAACAGCCTTAACTTTATGAATATTGCAAACATTGTTGCCTTTTCGATAGAGTCGTCGAACGCCACCACCATTTTCCCGACAATTAAATCCAAGATGGCGTCGCTGCAACCCCCAGTTCATGGAACAGGGAATCCCCTTCCCACCGTATAGGGCGGTTGCGACAGAAGGGCTGGTTCTGGGGGAGGGGAAGGGGGCGAAACGAGGGTTGCGCCCTTTTCCACTCCGGAAAGGGACGGTTGCCGCGTAGCAAGCCTATCCTCAGCCCTTCTTCCGTTTTTTTTTCTCGCTTTAGATTACAATACGCTCTTGCGGGACAGCTCGCGGTAGCGGACATAAATGTTTCGGTTGATCACGGGGTGGGTAGCGGCGAGGGGTGGCGGCTAGATTGCGGGGAAGAAAAAAAGAGTGATTCAATTAATTCTTCTCCCCCAGAACGATCATTGGACGACTTCCAAATTAGATTGCAGCTCAATTTGGCCGAATGTCTGCGAGGCTTTGAGATTTACTTAGAGTAAAATTGGTATTACAAAAATTGTAATATTTTCAACTATTAAAATACTTTACGTCTCAAGAGCTTGGTATAATAATTTCAATTCTGAATATATTATACATTCTACTGTGACTTTACAGTTTCTTATCAACAATTTTTAATCTTCCTAAAATTACACAGAAATTTCTTTTCGATACTGTGGGGTTTAATATATTAACAGTAGTGCATAAATAATAGTAAATTTTACTGAAATCTTTATTTTGCTATGTTTTAGAAGTCAGGGAACGCTACAAATGCATAAATGTCCGCAGTACTGGTAATAAGAAACAAAGTAGTTCAGGCTACGAAGTATTTTCTAGAGAATTCTGGTATTAACACAATGTAAATTATTATTTTGTAATTTTGAGTTCAGTGCGATTTCTGCTTATTTGATAATAAAACATGCAAATATTCTCTGTTTAGGTTTGCGCGATGTCTTCTTCGTGTAACATCGGAAAAACCCGACAGCTTAGGACTAAGTGCATTAGATTCTCACACTTGGACACGCAGATTTTCGGTGGCACGACGGGTAAAAGCAACCCCGCTGGGACATTCGTTCGAGCTCGTTGACACCCCCCTACTGATCTGCAGATATATGACAGCATGACCTCCTCGATTGTCCCCATCTTCGCCCTGGAACTCCCTGTCGCTGGACGTATTCTTCGCTCCGTTGCAAACTCGAAGAATAACACTACACGTACGTGAACCTACACAATACGTGGTTCTAAATTTTTCACTCAAATTCGTTAGTCGCATTTTTATGCAAAATGAAATTTTATAATTGAATAATATCCCCGTAATCTACTAATTACTATTCATTGGAAACATCTAGTACAAACTATGATTACAATAACTTTTAATTTTAGGTCCCCTGTTGTGTTTTCGCCTGTCGTCACGACGAGCAAGAAATAAGTAAGGAAGAGGAACTTCATGTCCTCCATAAAGAAACAAGGTCAGAAGTACGAGGATGAAGCGATTATTAAAAGTCAAGCCGCGAAAAGTCACGCAGTTAGGGGCTGCCGACTGTCGGAGCAACCCGTCTGTTTTGCGGTCGTGTACAAATAACGACGGGGGCTACCGAACGCCTCCTCGGATCCTGGTATTAGGAGTCAAAGCTTCAGGGGTTGCTGGTGTAATCCGAGATTAAGGAGACCGAAGGATCGCTTGTAATCCGGGCTACGTTTAAGCGATCGTTTAACCCTGAACGTGGAGTCGAAGCCACCCCTTCTCTGTGCCCATTGGTGGCTGGCGTCGGGAAGTCTCGAGCTGGAAACTTAGGACAGAAGAAATATGGGGAGGGGTGACTTCGAAAAGAAATGGGGAATCTCGATTGGAATTGGAGTCGATTAAAAGCAAAAATGCGAGAACTTAATTTTTCAGGTGGGAAGAAAACAACTCTGTCGATTAATGTAAAATCACCTCCACACCGATTTAATTTTTTTTAAATAGATAATGGGCAACTAAGTCAAGGTAGTTATCTAATGTAGGAGTAATAATAAGACGAAGACGAATTCAGATGATAAATAGTAGGTTTTCCAGGTCATCGAAGCGAGGACGGTTACATAGCTATTACTCGACAACATCGGGAACATTCTACAAAGATCGTATTCTGCTTTCGACACCCCGTGGACGTTTCTATATAACATGCGACTGCTAAAAGGAACGCGAGAATTTGGACGAACAGGAAGAACACCCGGTGAGAAGACACCATTACTTTTATCTCGCATGATTCAACGCGTCGCGAATAGGGCAACAACACTTGCCGACGGTCGTTTTCTGTTCCTTGTGTGTAAAACCCTGCGTCATTTTATTTATAACACCTACATTATGCACCTTCTGTCTGCGAATTCCTATCACTTTATTTGAGATTCTTCAACTACTTTAATGTATGCATATTTATTTTCAGATCCTTTGGAGATTCTTGTATATTCGTTCAAGCTAAGCAGAGTATATTCATTGTATATCTTAAAGGTACGTAGTTTTAATTGTTTATATTTGTAATCCTTTGTTCACCCTCTCACTCACACTTACACACATTCCTCTTTACTGCAATCTACTAATTTCTTAACTCTACAATGTCCAGTCTAATGCTTCATCAGGCAAAAATCAAATATATACCAATTTAAACCATCTTCCGTCAACAGTAATGCCTCCAGGATTCCCGGCGAGTCTTCCACCGTTCCAGTCGCACCGTTACCTGCAATCATCGGTGCAAAAGCGTCTACTCTCCCACCCCATGAAGAAGTATCACCAGCTCCGGGTGGTCCTGTATAGCGGAATGTTTGCCTGCGTCATTGTTGTGTCTCTGACACTCGATCGTCTGGCCCCGTTTAAAAATCGTTTAGCCCCTAATATCTCTCTCTCTTTTGCTTCTCGTTCGTAGTTCGAATTTCTCTGTCCAAGAAGGGAAAAGAGAGAGATAGTTCAGGTGTCCGTCGACGAAGGATTCTCGCGGGGGCAACCAGGGAGCCCAAGCACACCCGGGGCGCGTTGACTTCCTGATATATGGATCGGCCGAGGAATCACGTTCATCGCAATTGTACCCCCTCTGGCTCTGGCGATGCGATCCGCCGAATATCGGGACATTTCTGTATTTGGAGGTTATGAATGGAGACGGCTCGGCTCGGATGTTCCTTCTAAGAGGCGCACCCTCCGTCGAGGCATATTAGGGCTAAATATTTTGTAAACGGAGGATCGGGGAGTCACGGAGGCAGTCAAAGTTACGGGAGCACCCGTGGTGTTTGTGTATCCTGGTGACATTACGTCTTGGAAACTTGCAGTTAATAGGAGGCCACATTTTGGACGGCTACAGACGGTGTTCTGCGTAGCGTAACGTTGACTGTTAACACGTCGAGTATCGTATATGGTAATGTAAATGACCAGACAACAGTGTAAAGCTAAAATAATCGTAATATGTCCTGTTTTTATCAGGGACGATTGAGTGGCGTCGATTCTACCTGTGACACTGATCTACACATTAAGCTGCGTCCAACTACTAGCTGGTATCCAACTATTATCTTCTTTAATTTGACCTAAAAATCCCTGGAGTAGACTACCGAAAGGCGTCGAAAATGCACGGACTGCTGAGGGTAAATATGTTGATGCAAAATGTTGTACAAACTTGTTACAGATTCTCCCAAAGGTATCATGTAACGAGTTATCAAAACATGTTGCATAGCAAAGTTATATAACAATTTGGTATACAATACTGTTTTGGTATATAGTGTAGACGCAGCTTTACGGCTCGACGATAGGGGCCCATCGACGCCCATGATCGGTCCCCATTGAACGGGGAATTACATTTTTCTACATTCTCGGATTATCATTATAGAGGCCATCGAATGGACCAAGAACGACACGACAACCCCTCCCACGACATCACGGATTCCTGGACGACGTCACACGCTTCGCTGATATATCGTCGCACCCCACCCTTGCTTCTGTTAGATTTTTTTTTCTTCGTCTCCGCTTTTTCTTAATTCCCTGACACGAAAAAATGGGGCCCCGGTGGGCGGGTGGCCCATTCCCCGAGAAAAGAGTGAATGGAACGGGCGATCGTCTTGGGTCCATTCAGACGCGCACCTGACTCCTGGACTTTTCGTGAGAAACGCTCCAGAGACTTTTCGAGATCTCTTTCTTCGACCTGGCTCATTCAACGGACGGGAAAAACGGAGTCACGGGGGGATTCTTCACGTTTTTCTTCGACGTTCCATGAGGTGTTGCGCGATCATGGGGAGAAAAGTGGCCGTCGGGGGTATCTAATTGTGCCGGTCGAGGGGCCATTTTATTCACGGCGTTCAACCCTCGATTCCTCCACTTCAGAGATTCTTAAAATAATCTGTAATATTTGTCTGTTCTTTATTTCTAATGTTAATGGCAAAATCGGTGATTTGACCGGTCGCTATAGTTTTAGTATTTATTTATATATATCTGCCGTTATCATCGTACAAGACAATATCCACTGATCATCCACAGTATCTAATTTTATGGAATTCCGTGGAATGCCACCGACAAGGCGCGAGAACGTTCGTTAGGGGCTAAACGGGTGGTCGTAAATTAAACGGTAAATATGGAACCGGTTGAAAGCCGACGGAACAATCAAAGAACGGTCGATTCACGATTGTTACAGTGGCACTCCAAATCTATTCATCCACGAAGTAGATCAATGGCCGAGTGTTAAGGTACCCACGCCCAGAAAGGGGCGCGTTCGGCACCTGTCGCGCCTGGGAGTTAAGCCCCATCGATCCTTTAGGTCCTACCTGGTCCGAGGCAAATTGCTTGAATGGGCCGGTAACGTTCACTGGAATCCCCACGCTAGCTGATTCCGTCGTGGCACGATAATTAACGCTGGAGGGGTATAGCTATTCTCTTTTCTTTCATATTTCCCTCAAAAAGGCCATACAAGTGAAAACAATGGCAAGCAAAGGGGTGAAGTAATCATAAATCGTAACTGTACGTTAACTAACAGATACAGTGACTCATGCATTCGTTCACAGAAAAGTTAAATGGTATCAGGGGGCACATTTTTTTATGTAACTTTTTTCTATGAGGACGCGTAGAGGCTATATGAATGTTAACTTTGTTTTTTTTAATGGAATCGTATATTTTTTAATGCGCTACTCGATGCTACTTGTTATTCCCAACATAAAGTACTAAGTCACTAAGAGCGAAAAATCATTTCACACTTGTTAGTCTCTGTAATGGCGACCAAAAGTACTGTTTATTGGTATGAACAAATGGTCCAGGGTTCGAATCCATGTCTATTTTATTGAACTTCCACAATTAACTGACTTCCTCTTGTTCTTGCTGCCACAAGGTGGTCTCCCCGTCACCTCTACGCTCTTC